CAAGGGTTTGCTTGTGTGGTCAGAAGGGACAGGTGTGGCACTGGAGTGGTCCCACCTGGGCTCTGGTCACCCATGGCTGGCCTTCACGTGGCAGCTCTGACAGCAGCAAGAGCCCCGCCCCGCCCCCAGCATTCAGAGCATCTCTGGAGCGTCCCGTCCGGGCCTCGTGCCCAGTGCCTGCCTGCCCGGCCAGGGCTTCCCGTCCTCTCACCTCTCTTCCTCTCGTTTGCATAGGAGAGTGCTTGTTCCCACCTCCTGTTACTGCATGTTGGTTCACAGGTGGCTGGTTCCCCCGGCAGAGCCATGTGTGTCCTCACGTCCTTCCCTCATTGTGCAGCCGTGGCCCTCGTGCCCTCCCACTCGCTGCTTAGGGTATATTTTTATCATGCCCATCTCCCCGCTCCCTGCCCTCACGCTCCTCCTCCCTTTGCCAATGTGCTTTCTCGTCGTCTCTTAGGTTCCACATGCTCGGGAGGACATGTTACGCTTGTCTTTCCGAGTCCAGCTTGTTTCACTCAACGTCACGATCTCTGTATCTACCCATCTTCCTGCAGATGATGCAGTTCTTTTCCTCTTTGTGGCTGACTAATACTCCGCAGCGTATCGTTTCCGCATTTGCTTTATCCATCCACCGTTGATGGGCCCCAGCCTGGTTCCCTGTCTTGATACTGTGAATTGTGCTGCAGTAAACGTGTGTGCAGGTCTCCCTCTGGTAAGCGCCCCTGAATCTCTTTGGGTGTGTACCAGTAAGTGCCGTGGCTGGATCAAGCGGTAGTTCTGTCTTTAGTTTTCTGAGGCATTTCCTCACTGATTTCCCAGTAGCTGCGCTGACTTCCGTTCCCCGCAGCAGTGTAGAGGGCTCCTTCTTCCCCACATCCTCACCAGCGTTCACTGGTTCTGCATTGACGATCATTCTGACTGAAGTGCGGTGGATCTCGGTGTCATTTTGATTTACGTTTTTTAATGGCTAGAGATGATGACCGTTTTTTTTTCAAATCCTTTTGGCTATTGGCACTCCTTAATGATTGGTTGGGTTGTTTGAATTTCTGGTGTTGCTTTTCTAAGCTCTTCATATGTTCTGCATGTGAACCCTCTGGGCAGAGCAGGTGGCAGCCATTTTCTCTCGTTCAGTAGCCCAGTGGTGGTGAACCCATTAGAACTTCCAGAGATACAGACAGTCATGGTGGCACCTATGCTGTAGGTCCAGCACCACTGCTGCAGCCTGTCTCTGCTGTTAGTTGTTCCCTTTGCTGTGCAGAAGCTTTTTAATTTGCTGTCGTCCCACTGCTATTATTTCCTGTGCTCTTGGAGTGCAATTGTTCTGTCCAGGAAGTCTTTGCCTGTATCTACAGCTTCAAGTATTTCCTTTTACTGATTTCCGATTTTTGGGTCTTAAACCAAGATGTTTGGTCCATTTTGAATTGAACTGTGCAGGGGAGAGGTAGGGGTCTCATGTCAGTCTTCTCCAAGTGGATCTCCAATTTTTCCAGCAATGTTTGTTAAAGAGGCTGTCTTCTTTCCAGTAAATATTTTTGGCTCCTTTGTCCAGAATCAATGGCCATGGTGGTGTGCGTCTGTGTCCTCTGCTCTGTCCCATTGGTCTGTATGACTATTTTTGTGCCAGTGCCATGCTGTTTTTGTTACTGTGGCTTTGGAGAATAATTTGAAATCTGGCGCTGCTTTGCCTCCAGCCTTGCTCTTGTTGCTGAGGACGGCTGTGGCTATTCTGAGTCTTTTGTGTTGCCATCTGCATTTTAGGACTGCTTTCTCCAGTTCCGTGGAGAGTGTCATTGGTATTTTGAAGATGATTACATGGTAATTTGGCCACTTTACTAATACTGTGACAATTCTTGAACATAGGATGTTTCTATTTTCTGTGTTGTCATCTGTTTCTTTCTTCAGTTTTTGAAATCTTCATGGTAGAGGTTTTTCACTTCTTTGATTGGATTGATTCCTAGGGGTGTGTGTGTGTGCATGCGCATGTGCTATTGTGGATAGAATCATTTTCCTGATTTCTTTTTTACCTTATCCATTGTCTTGGTTACTTTGCTCTTGTTGCTGGGACAAAATACCTGATGCCCAAAATTAAGGAAGAAAAGGTTTATTTAGCTCCCAGTTTGTGGAGGTTTCAGTCCATACCCAGCTGACTCCAAGGCAGGGTGACACATGGCACAGGGCAACAGTTCATGGTGCGGAAAAACAGCAAAAACAGCAAGGGCAAAGGAGGAGCTTTGAACAAGCCTCTTTTTCTCCCTTATATTGTATGCAGGCTTCCCGCCCCAGGGTGGGTGTAGTGCTCACATCCACAATCCCAGCGTTGGACCATGAATCAATCACAAACTCTAGAAGCCGCCCATGACTACATGAGGCTTTGCGGGGGCATCCAGACACAAACCATAACATCCGTTACTGATATATGGTAAAGATACTGATTTCTTCATGTTTATTTTTATAACCTGCTATTTTACTGAATGTATTTGTCAGCTGTAAAAGTCCTTTGATGAAATCGTTAGGGTCTTCTAAGTCTAGGACCCTATGCTCTGCAAACAAGGATGGTTTGACTTCTTTTCCTGTTTAGATCCCTTTTCTTTCTTTCTCTTACCTAATAGCTGCAGCCAAGATTTCAAGGACCGTACTGACCAGGTGTGCTCAGAGAGCGTCCTTGCCCATCCCTGGCTCTTGTGGAGATGCTGTCTTGCCTGGGCGGAGGCGAGCGTTTACCTGAGAACGTGCATGCTCTTCTTGTTGTGCTGCGGCATCAGGGGCCTCGCCCCTTCTCCCAGACAGCCCGCAGCTCGGGGGTGGGCCTGGGGACCCAGCTAGGGCCAGAAGAGACCCCAGGTGGCTGTTTGACAGAGATGGCCTTGGCGCTGCCCTGTACCATGCAGTGGGTCTTGGCAAACCTCCTGGGCTTGGACGCAGGGCTGCTGTGCAGTTTTTCATTTATGTGCTTGGAGTATCTTTTACACCTGTTCGCTCTTCTTCATTCTATCAAAACAAAGCCCCAAGACTACATTCTTGTTTATAGAGCACGTGACATAGCAATGACAGGAACAGGGAATGTGTACTTGTTAGCTCGGTTGGGTTTGAAGTAGGAATTCACTCCCGAGAACCAGCGTTTCTCCTCACAGGTTCATGAGTGTGGCCGACGCTCTGTGCCAGCGGCAGGTGTGCGCGCCCCTGGCCACGAAGAGTCTCCGGGAACCCCAGAGGGAGGCGCAGGACGCAGTGTGAGGACAGGGCTGGGGGAGCAGAGGGGCCAGCTCCAAGCCCCCAGCTTCCCTGTGGGTGTAGGCACCTGGCAGCCCTGCCTCTGGGTCTTACACCCTACAGAGAAGGCAGGGCTTTGCGGGGGCCTGGGCTCTCAGGAGCGCAAGTTTGGTCCCCTTTTCGTAGTACTGGGGATTGAACCTGGGAGCTCTGCTGCTGAGCCGCAGCCCAACCGCGCCCCCTTTTCTGTGGTTTTTTTGAGACATGGTCTTGCTATGGAGTTCAAGCTGGCCTCACTCTATAACCCAGGCTGGCCTTGAACTCACAGTGATCCAGCCTCCCAAGTGCTGGAATTGTAGGCCTGCACTGCCACGCCTGGCCCCCTTTTTATTTTTATGAGACAGAGTCTGATTAAGCTGGCCTCAAACCTGTGACCCTCATGCCTCTCCTTTCCAAGTAGCTGGGATTGTAGCTATAGGCCACTAGGCCTGGCTTCAGTATTTTTTAAGTGGCAGACACAGATCTTCCGGGCAAGGGCAGGGCACATGTTTGAGGGAGGTGCTGAGTTTTGAAAGAAACATCCTCAGTCCGTTCAGCAGATGCCTCCATGGTACAAATCCCAGGTACGGAGGCAGCGCGGGACTCCGGGCAGCAGTCACCCCGAGGCCCGTGCCAGGGCACACGTGTCCCTCGCCCCTCGAGGCTGTCACTCTCCAAGGCAGGGCGGCATCTGGGTGGGAAGTATGGCCAGAGCCCCTGCGGAAGTCCCCAGAGCAGGGCCGTCCCAGCACTGCTCGCTCTACGGTCCTGACTGGCAAAGCGCACACTCGCTGTCCGCCCGAGAGTGGGAGGAGAGCCGGCTGCTGCACCGTGTGGGCACGTGGAGTGGCCACTGTAGATAACGCCAGCCAGTGTTTAGGGTGATAAGTTACTTTGTTACGCATATTTATGGATGTGTCTGTAATTTTTACGAAAGCCAGTGTTCCTCAGGAACCTTTTCAACTGCTCTACTTTTTTGAACTGGACATACAGATCATTGGGTCTTATTTTGGCGGATTCATATGTACACTTAGCGTACTTGGTCATTCCTGCTCCATCCCAGGCTTTGTCTTGGATATCCCCATCTGCGTGACCTCCAGGCCTTAGTGGTGGAGCTGCCCCAGCTGGGACCGCCGTGGTTGTGTTAGGAGTCCTTTCTGTCCCCGAAGTGGGACTTGCAGGTGGGAGGAGAAGAGCGGCTCAGAGCGGAAGGCTGATTCAGGATGATTCTGGCTCAGTAGAATGGTGGCAGAGGGCAGACTCATGCCAGGCAGAGGTCCGTGGGCCTCTTGAGGGAACAGGGCAGCACAGGAAATGCTGGAATTGGAAGGGGAGGTTGTGTCCTGCATAGGCCTGGCTGTTACGGTGCCCATGTGACAGGGCCACCAGGACCAGGGTGCGTGTTAGAACTGGCTAAGGAGGGTGTTGCCCTGGCCACCATCTGAGGGGGTCATTTGAAACGATGTGCATGGCAAGTGTGTACTGTGTATTTTAAAGAACCTTAGGCGTATGGTCCAGTTAAGTGAACTCTAGGGGGTTTCAATTAGCACATTAATGGCGGTATTGGGGTAAAGGAGGATGAAGGAAGACCCTCGGTCCCAGCTTGTCCTCCTTCGTGGCGTTGGGAGCCCAGTGCCCACGTCCTATCTGAGGCCGAGGGCAGCCGTCTTGCAGGTGTGACTGTGACTCCCTTGCACAACACGATGGGATGGTGTTCCCCTAACTTACGGAAGTTTTTTCCCCTCTGGCAGAATTCTTCTCTCCTAAAATGGAGCCAGGTAAAAAGATGGACTCGGCCAGTGCGCTGCAAACCAACCCACCGCTGAAGCTGCAGCCCGACCGCGGCACAGGGTCCGTGTTTGTCCCCGAGCAAGGTGGCTACAAGGAGAAGTTTGTGAAGGCCGTGGAGGACAAGTACAAGTGCGAGAAGTGCCGCCTGGTGCTGTGCAACCCCAAGCAGACTGAGTGTGGGCACCGATTCTGCGAGAGCTGCATGGCCGCCCTGCTCAGGTGGGTACTGCCGGGTACTGGCCTGCATCTGCGGAGAGCCGCTGGGAGCCGTGGGAGGCTGCGGTCCCTCGGACATGCAGGGCTTGCCGGGCTTGGCTGGGATGACTCTGGGCCCCACAGCCGAGGTCACTGAGGCCCCTGCGCACGCCACCCTTGCCCAGGAGGCCCGGCGTCCCTGTCTGTGGCCCTGCTTCGCTGAGGACCTGGAGCTGTGGGGAGGAGACGAGTCCTTCAGCACAGACCTCCGTGGTGGGAGGGGCGGGCCTCAGGACTGCACACTCCCAGCCGCATGCCATGCAGTGGGTGACGCAGAGCAGCGCTTCCATCCTGGCGTCACAGAGGCAGGCTGGAGTTAGTGGCAGAAACAGCACTGGCTTGGCCAGGCATGGTGGTGCATGCCTGTAATCCCAGCACTTGGGAGGCAGGGGCAGGAGGACGGAGTTCAAGACCAGCCTGAGCTACACAGTGAGTTCAAGGCCAGCCTGCAGCCCTGGCCATGAGAGCAGCAGGGTCAGCCCACAGGGGCTGTGTGCTTCTCCCTCAGGCCTCATGCTAGACGCTTGGTCCCTGTCTTGAGGGCACATGGCCTGGCCAGCTGCCCCTCCCAACCAGCCACTCATTCCCGGGCCCCGAGCCCAGGAGCACGCTGGCCCTGCCGTCACCCGCTTTGCCTCATCCCGTGTCCCGCAGTGCTCTCGGGGCCCCGTCCCCTCACAGCCTCGAGTTCCTGCCTGCCCCGGGCTGGAGCAGCAGAGGTAAGAGGCGCCATCAAGCCGGGTGCACAGTGGGCACAGCACCTGCCTGCCCTCCTGTGGACCCGGGCAGGGAGACTCTGTGTTGGCCTCAGGCTGGCCGCCCCCCAGGGCTCACAGCCCAGTGTCCACTGGAGGGCTGGACTCAGCTGGGGACGCGATGGCTTCCTTTTGAAAAATTGCCATGTGCTGGGAACCCCCTGCCCGCCCTCCCGCGGCTCCTGCTGAAACCCGACTGCCAGGGCACCCAGAGCCCAGCGGGGACAGAGCTCCGCTCTAACACGCTCTGTGTCTCCCACAGCTCCGCGAGTCCCAAGTGCACCGCGTGTCAAGAAAGCATCGTCAAGGACAAGGTGCCCGTCTGCTGCTCCGCCCAGCTCAGCTGGCAGTGCGCGCCCCTCCCAGTTTGCACCTGGGCCCCTGGACACTGTGTTACCTCGGTGTGGACAGCAGTGCTGTGCCAGGCCACTGCCAGTCCCCACTGACGCGCTTTGCCACCTCCGTGCCTGAGACGGTCACCATGCCTGGGAGGTGTGGTGCAAGTGGAGGGCTGAGGGGCCGTGGCCTGGGCTGTCTGCCACCAGGTCACGGGTGGGTCACCACTGTCCTTGGGGGTCTCTATGGCACGCAGCTCATGGCCGACTCTAACCTTAGGTGTGGCCTTCAGAGGTGCGCTGGGCCGAGGGGTGCGTCTGAATCCCCGCCGCCCCCCGCACTGTGACCGTTGCCCTGTTCGCTCCCCTGTGGTCACGTGCCCACAGCCGTGGGTGTCACTCCACACACAGGGCAGGAGAGGCTCGCCCTGCGGGGGCCGGGGCCCCGCTCATGCCGCGTCTGACGGGTGGTGATCGCTTACGGCTCACCCTGGCAGGTGCACTTACAGTGTGAAACAGCTCATTCTTTAAGTACTTAAGTATCAGTAAGAATGTGTGTGCTTCCCCTGTTTTGATTGATGAGCCTGTAGGCTTTCAATGGGGGTCATGGCCTTATACACGGACACCTGGCTCTGGGATTGTCTGTGCAGCACCAGTGTGAGGCGACGCATTGGCTGGGGCAGCCCCGGTGTGGGTAGAGGGGTGAGGGCCCTGGCAGCAGGTTCTGGCGGCTGGGGACGGGTGGGGGCGAGGGAGCTGTCCCGGAAATGGCCAGTCTTCAGCGTGTTGGTTCTTAGCATTCACCGCTGCACAGGAAAAACAGTGTGCAGCCTGGTCCTTATCTTAATGTGAAGACAGGTGACTTGTTCACGTGTCTGACAGGTGCGGCAGAGGGCAGAGAACCTCGGGCTGGGCAGGTTGTAGTGTCTGTTGCTTTGTTCTGAGTTAGCCCTGCCTTTGACGTGCTCGATAGCTGAGGAGGAACAACTGGGTTTGCTGGAGAATCATTAATGAGATGCACAAAACTGTGGTTGGGTGGTCAGAGCGGAGCCCCTGGGCCCTCGCCCTCCCCAGTGTCCCCCAGGCCCCTCACCTGCACCGGGACCTGGAGCAAATGATCCGAGGGCCCTTCAGCTCCTCAGTCTGTGCGTGTGTTACCCTCCTGTCCCCACCGGTGTGACTGTGTGAGGTTGAACTCCAGTGATTGAAGGGACTCAGAGCTTGGGAAGGAAGCAGGTTCCCACCCAGTGAAGTAGCTGTTCTGTGGGCTGCTGCCTTCATTCATCACCTTTAAAGTCCTTGTGTTTGTGAAGCCTTAGCTCGGCTCCAGGTTAGTTTATTTTTAACTCTTGGCAGCTTTGATTCTGTTCCTTTGCTTGTGGGTCCGGAAGGCAGATTAGAGCTGGCTTTCCTGTGTGTGGGGCTCCGGCAGGCTGCTCCTGATCACCTGGGAGAAGGTGCTGCCCCTACTGGAAAGAGCAGTGTGCTTGTTTCCTGGTAGCAACGAAAGTCAGAGAAAGGCAAGCAGGTTTTCATCTGGAGAGAGAAATATTGCAGTATTAGATTAACCTTTGTGATACTTACGTAAAAGCTTCTTTTTTGGTAAAAAATAAGTTATACACACCATAACCTCCATAGGAGGAACCAAAAGAAATCTTTCACAGATTGTCCTAGCCCTTGGTCCAGTCCACTAACAAGTGACCGTAAGGCCCACAGGCCCCCTGGTCAGGTGCGCCCTCGGCCGCCCCTTCGAGCCGGCTCCTGCTCCCCAGGACACAGAGCCTCAGGCTGCTCATCACAGCGCTGGGGACAAGCTCATTAACAACCCAGCGCAGCTCATTTTCTCCTCGCATCTAATCAGGTTGTATGATTTTCGTTGTGTCTCTTGGAGGGGACACTGCAGCTCACAGAAATTAAAATGGCTCTTAATGCTTGTGAGGTTCACTCCAGAGTTGCTCTTCTGATTTTGTAAGTGGTTTTACCTTGACCAGAGCAGCAGCGTGTGGAGATTAAGAAGCGTTAATCCCCTGAAGTGGCGTCTCTTGGTTTCAGGTGTTCAAGGATAACTGCTGCAAGAGGGAGATCCTGGCCCTCCAGATCTATTGTCGGAACGAAGCCAGAGGCTGCGCAGAGCAGCTGACGCTTGGGCATCTGCTGGTGAGTCCTGGGCGCCGGGGCTCTGAGGCCACACAGAGGGCACCGTCTTCTAAGAGACAGCGGGTGAGGGACATGGCACCTTCAGGCCAAGAGCACCTGGGAGCTCAGCCCGGGTATGCAGTTTTATTTTGTGACGCCATCGGCAGAATCATCCAGGCCTTGTTAGAGTAGAGGGAAGTCTGCATTGAACCCTTTTCTGGCCATGAAATTTCATGTAATTTATTTTTTCATTAGCATCAATTTAATTTTTATTTGTATCAGTTTTATGCTGGGAGGGTACTTGAATCCCAGAGGATGTGCTGACTGTCCTAGCAGTGGTGTGCTTTGGTGACCGCTGGACCAGGTGTGCACCTGCATCCCTGTGGCGGGAGCCGCTCTAACACCTGCAGGGCCCTGTACGTCGGGGCTGGAATCTGGCTTTCCCCCGGGGTGGCTTTGCTGCTGAAGCCCTGGGGGTGGTGTGTTTCACAGGTGCACCTAAAGAATGACTGTCAGTTCGAGGAGCTTCCCTGCATGCGCGCCGACTGCAAGGAGAAGGTGTTGAGAAGGGACCTGCGCGACCATGTGGAAAAGGCCTGCAAGTACCGCGAGGCCACATGCACCCACTGCAAAAGCCAAGTCCCGATGATCACGCTGCAGGTGCGGCCCCAGCCCACGTCCTCCCCGGGATCGCGCCTTAAGTGCCGATTCTGACGTGAATAGAGGAAAAGATAGCACTAAACAGCAATTTTCATCTAACTTTATTTCAGAGTAAAGCTGTATTTATTTTCTCTGTTTTGATTTATGTAATTAACACTTTCCATTGCCTTGATTGAATATCATTGCAGTGTCAGAAAAAGGAAGAATGATTATTCAGGAAAGGTAGAGTTTGTAACCAGTGCTAGAGAATGGCCTCCAGATTATGATGGTTGCTTGTCTCCACAGCTGCGTAACAGCGCTCGCTCCGAATGTGCTCATTAGCCTGCGGTGTGGACGCAGCTGTCTTGGAGCGAGGAGGATGTGAAGTGTTTTCCTGCCCCTGTCGTTGGGCAGGGCTCCGCTGTGTGTGGTGGCCGGCATGTCGCTTCTGCGTGAGCTGGAGGAAAGCGGAGGCATCAGGGTGGAAGGTGGACTCTACAGGGTCCCTTGGCACTGGCCCTTGCTGTGACCCAGCGTGTGCAGTGGCCTTCCGGGTGCCCAGGCCTTCCAAGCCAGCGCAGGGACTCACAGAGCCAGGGTCAGTGCCAGTGACTGCTGTGCAGAGGCTCCGGTGTCAGGGAAGGAGGCCATCCGGGTCCACTGCTCAGGGCGGTGGGCAGCTGCAGGTGTGGGGCGGCCTTCAGGGAGTGCATGGGCCCTGAGATGGCCAGTGATGTCCAGGACTCGCATGGACCGTGGGAGGTGGAGGTGGACAGGGCAGGTAGCTGTGTGGTGGATCTTGCGGTGGACAGGGACTTTGCTCAGGCTTAAGCTGATGTGAGCACATGTCAGAAGAGCCACTGGGTGGCTGTGGCCTACCAGGTGGGGCTCGGTGGGGGCAGGGAGGGCCCAGGCTGTGGGCACCTGTGGCCAGTTTCCTTGTGGCTCAGGACTCGAGCAGGTGGAGAGGAGGCCCAGGAGACCAGAGGCGGCACACAGATGCTTCCTGCGTGCTGGGGGTGGGTGGCACCCCTGAGGCAGGTGCTGCCACGGAGGCTGGGCAGGGGTGCCCTTGGCAGGTGGGGTGGTGCTGGGTCATTGGAGGGAGAGGACTGGGGGCTCGAGCAGGCATGAGGCTGCGCTCCTGGCAGTTGTTCTGACCCAGGACAAGTCCAGGGGAGTTTCCCCCAGTCTCCCTGAGAGCAAGGTCTACTCTGCCCCCCTCCGTGCCTGCTACCCAGCCTCTTTCCATTGGGAAGTCTTTTTCTGACAGATGCTCTAGACATTCCCAGTTTGATGAACTTTAAAGAACTGTGCCCTTGTGTTTGGGAAATAGCAATAGTGTTTGTCGTAATTGAGTAGTTCCTGCAGTAATTAACTTCCGGTGGTGAGACACATCCCTAGTGAACAGTACTCTGGGTCTTACACGTGTTCATATATTGCTATCGGAATTACACATTGCTGCTCGCAGAAATCAATTATTAGAGAGTAGACCCAGCAATTAATCTTCATTTAAGAAGGCACTGTGGAGCATGTCAGTTACACGCCCTGGCGCGCCTGAGCTGCAGGCACGGCCCGGCACCTGGCTTCCCAGAGCACCAGGAGGGCCCATCGGGCCTGACATTGCTCAGCGCTCAGCCTCACGGGGCAGTGTGCGCCTCTCCTCAGGGCCACAGCCCGGCGAGGCAGCCGGGGCACAGTGAATTCCCCGCAGTGAGAGCCCAGGGCAGCAGCCTGCAGGTCAGGGGCCTCAGGGAGCAAGCGTCGTGATGCCGTCTGGGTTTTGAACTTGTATAGACCAGGGAGGAAGATGGCAGGCTCCGCCTGGATGGTAACTAGCAAGTTTGGAGTCTGAGTGCCCTCCAAGCCTTGGCATATTCTTGTGACAGAATGGTTTGTAAGCTGCGTGGCACTCGGGAGGCAGAGTCTTTCTGCAGGCCCTTGCTGCGTCCGCAGTCTGCTGTGGTTTTAGCGAGCACTCAGGTTTGAGCTTGCTGCTCCTGGCTCCCTCCCCGACTCCCGGGGGCTCCCGCCGCTGTGTGAGCCGCTGCGCCTGGGAAGGGTCCGCCGCTCGCCCCGGTCTCCTTGACCTTGCCCTGTGGCATGATTTGGTTCCCAGGCGTGTTGGTCTTCCAACTCCGACACTCATCTGGTCTCATCTTCATCTGGTCTCGTCTTCTCAGGCCTTCAGTGGATTCTTAAAAGCAGCAGCTGTCTGACTATGTGGATCTAAAGGCCCAGGTCATCCTGCTTTCCTGTTTCCTGCATTTTGCAATGTGACATATGAAGCGACCGGATCCGTCCCTTTAAACTGGTCTGTTAAGCTGTGAAAAGTCAAGATTGTAAAGACCAGGCCGTAGGGGAGGGAGAGGTCCGAATGTGGTCAGAGAAGCTGTGAGCGTGTGCGCGCCTCTCTCCTCCCCTTTGCCGCTGTGGGAAGTGACCTGGCAGTGCCTTACGAGGCCGCGCGCCCAGGCCCTCTTCCGACATGTCGCTGTACACGCTGGGCGATGGGGCCCAGTGTAACCCGAACACCAGAAATCCGGAGAAGCTTGAGCAGAGCGGTGTGAAGGTGCGGGGCCTGGGGTGGGCACCGCGTCAGCGTCACCGAGCGGCTGGCGGCGCTGAGGTGTGCACGTGGCCAGAGCCGTGCCTCACACAACACAGGGGCTGCCCGGCCCGTAGCAGGGCTCCACCTTAGCCCCGCTCAGAAGCAAAGGAGGTGGGGTTGTGTTGGGCACTCCCATATATATGTGATGGACCCTTTTTAAGGAAAGTAGGAACATGAAATTCAGGATTATAGTTCTAATCCTTGGAAGAAACGAGACTGAGGTGGGTGGAGGAGCAGTTGGTTACCGTCTACACGCTGGGCGTGGCTTTCCGTGTACCTGGCACGTGTGTGCATGCTTCGAGGTTTGTTCAGCGGTGTAGACCAGACAGTTTCACAGTCTCAGACTGAGGCTCCTGCTTCCCTTTGGCTGCGGTCACTGAGTATGCCAAGGTGATATAAGCCAGCAGAATTTACTCCCTGGTATGTCCAGAAACTGGAACAGGGTGTGGGCAGGGCCAAGGCGCCTCCTCCTGGGGAAGGAGACCCCTCAGCAGCCCCAGCCATGGCACTCTCAGTGTGTCACTGCACCTGCCAGCCCCCTGTGAGCTCACAGGGCTTCTCCCTGGTCGGAGTCCTCACCTCTAATTCGTGCTGTGCTGGGGTGGGTGCCCTGCAGACACCCTGGCCTCGTGTTCAGCAGTTGCCACCTTGTGCAGAGCTGAAGTGTGCACCTCCAGGCAGGGGAAGCCAAGCGTGCCCTTGGCTCCCAGGCACAGAAGTGGTGGGTGTGACTGCAGGACAGCAGTCAGACTCGAGCTGGTCTTCTGCATCTGAGCACAGCCTGTAGAGCCCACGCCGCGGGCGCAGCCCCGGTCCCACACTGCCCAGGGGCTGGGAGCTTTGGGGCTGCAGCTGCTGCTAGGACCTGGCACAGGCCTCCCCAGCAGCCTCCAGTCGGATCTGACCCAGTCCCGAGACACTCGTCCCACGTGACGTGAGCGTGGTGGCAGCGGGCAGAGCACGTCCTGTGGGTCCTCGTGGGGGTTGGCGGTGCCGGGACAGCGCGTTTCACGGTGGCCGCGTGTTCCTCTCTCCACAGAAGCACGAAGACACTGAGTGCCCCTGCGTGGTGGTGTCCTGCCCTCACAAGTGCAGCGTCCAGACTCTCCTGAGGAGCGAGGTGGGCACAGCGGCCGGGCCGGGCCGGGCCGGGCCGGGCCGGGCAGCCAGGGTCCACGAGGTCTGGGGGCGGGGCGGTCACTCCACTCTCCCTTGGCTGCAAAGTCTGAGTCTTACCCAGCTCACGATCTAATGTGCAAGGCAGCAAACCAAAGTGACGTGAAGGCTTTGGAAGTCAGAAGGAAGCAATGAAGTCCTACAGAATGGTAAATTCGAGGCTAAGAGTACCATGGAGATTTGAAAAAAGGGGAAGACTGTGATGCAGGCCAAGGTGACCTCTGTGTTTTAAGACGTGCAGTTTCTAGATGAATACAATACTGCGTTCCTGTGAGGTTACGCCACAGCCAGCAGCTCCCACCGTTCCAGGCCTTGGTGGGGTGGCCTGGGGCAGCGGTGAGCAGGGAGGCGGGGACCCCGCATCCTGCCGCGCACCACCGAGCTGTTTCTGAGGCTGCCAGATTTGGCACTGACTCCCTTCGGCCAGCATGTCCCGGGGAGAACTTCGAGAGCCGCCGGGGCTCCATGGGCTTCCTGTCCTCCCAGGAGCCCTGCCCCACAGACCCTGCTCACCTCAGCCTTTTCCAGCAGCCTGAAGTCTTACCCTGAGGGTGGGCGAGCACCCCGTGTGTCCCCACGCAGACCTAGGACAGGGACACGACTCCGACTGCCGTCCCTGCCCGAGTCATCCCCTGCAGCCTTGATGGGGAGGTGGCTGGTGACAGCGGCCCTGGGCCCTGCATGTGCCTCTGGAAGGAGTCAGGGGCTGGATGCCCCCCCACCACAGCCATTGTTTAACAAGGGGCCGCACCACTGCACCAACCCAGGCTTTTGGTTTTGTTTTTTTTTTTCCCAGTATCAGGAATGGAACTCATGACCTCGCGCTTGCCAGGCAGGCGCTGTGCCGCTGAGCTAAATCTCCAGCCCCTAACCCAGGCTTTTACCAGCCCCTCCTAAACTCCTCTTGGCTCAGCTCTGAATCGGGGCGAAAGTCACCTTTATTCTGCTGCTAAGTAATTTTTATTTTTTTAAAAGTCCTTCAATCTGCACTTCTCGTTTTTGGTAGGAGTTGCTTTGGCTGTAGGTTATGCTCACCACTGCTCCAGAGCTCCTGTGAATTCTGAGAGTACTGGTGATGAAAACCAGTTTAGGGAAAGGGTCAGCGTGAACTCGTAGCAGTACACTGAAGATCACGTGTGAAACACAGCTCATCCGCGACTCTGACCCAAGGAGCGTTAGGTCGTTAAGTTCGTGATTGTGTTCATTGTACTGAGTGAACACGTTTTACGACTGCAGGTAACAACTGCAGGTAACGACTCCAGGAATCACCTCTGTGGGTCCATGCAACCATTTTCTGTGCCCATGGGGTCTCCCCCAGTGCGTGGGGCACCCGAGGCTGCTGACCCTTAATTGCCATGACCCCTCCCAACTCCGAATATTTTGAGAGGTGGCCCTGCTTGGGTCCCTAGGCCATTCCTGCCGTGGCCTTCTCCTGGACTCTGCAGCAGGCCGGAGCAGAGGAGGCTGGGGTCCGCCTTCCTGTATCCACAGTGTAGACCTAGCCCTTGTCTGTCTACACCGCTGGCCAGCACAGAGCGCAGTCCCGGCCCACAGTTGTGGTGACCCAGTGCATCATCCCACGTCTTTAAAATACAGCTTCTCGGGTTCCCTTTCTCTGCTTCGGCCGACATCAGCGCTGAACGAGGGCTTGTTCTTCGCAGTGGGTTGTCTCCTTCAAGCCCTCCTGACTTCCCTCTGTCAGTCTGAGGAGGCAACGTAAGGTTCACGTTGTCGGGCGGCCTTAGAGGTCTTTGAGAACTCGTGAGTTCCTGGCCATGCTGGGGAAAGCTTTTCAGAGGAGGGAAGAACTCGTCTCCAGTGATCCCAAGTGTTGCAAGTGACAGTGCAGTATACGAGCTTACTTTGAAGACAGATTTTATTTTTACGTACTGTGTATTAGGTGTGCGACCCAGTTGCATCCTGAATGCTATTTTTTGTGTTTCATGCAATTTTTGTTTATAGTCTTTGAGTGTGCATTTCAATTTGCGTTTTTTTTTGTTTGTTTTTAAATTCTGGCTCTTCAGACAGCATGTCACATTTTGAACAGTTTGTTTAAGGAAACTATAAGTTTGAGGTCCGTTACGGTGAATGTATTTCTGTATATTGGTGTGTGTGTATGTGTGTGTGTGTGTGTGTGTGTGTGTGTGTGTACGTGTGGGACTGCATACTTATGCCCGGGCCTGACAGCAGGCCGTGTGTACACACATGTAGCCGATGAACATGCTGAGCAGTATGGCCGATGCTCTCTGTGCCCTGATGTGTTTGAACATTTTCATGCAAACGTTTGTGCCACAACTCATGTCTCTTTCCCGTTGCAGTTGAGTGCACACTTGTCAGAGTGTGTCAATGCCCCCAGCACCTGTAGTTTTAAGCGCTATGGCTGCGTTTTTCAGGTCAGTATCCGACATCTGTCCTTCCCACTCACATTCCGCCACGAGGGCAGGTTCTCATGCTCACATTTCCACCCTCGTTCTGGACTCTCAGTCTGTGTCATGAAACGCAAGAGCCTGCTGCATGGGCGATGGGGGCCACAAGCAGCGGGTGTGGCGCTCGCTTGCTGGGCTGGTGGTCATCCAGCCAGGGAGGGACATATCGCACCGACACCACCTGGGGGCTCTCGGGGATCCCTGGGGATGACCTGGCCAGAAGCTGGGCCTGGTCCGGACCACACGCGCCTGTCCACAGGTGCATTCCCGAGGCGCCTGTGCCATTCGGACCCTGCTGGGCAGGTCACAGTCCTCGGAGCCACATCTTCCAGGAAAACTGTCGCTGCCCCAGGCACAGGGGGACAAACCTGCGTCCAGTTTATGTCACCTTTTCAGTACATCTGAGATGGCTAGTGAGTTAGGACCCAAGTTTTTTTTAAACGCCTATCTGAATTTTAAAATGTGTCAAAAGGCAAAATATACCACAATTAACTGTTGTATATTTAATTCTCTGTGACACCAGCACATGATTACGACACCAGTAGAGACCCTGGCTTCCTGGTGTTTGAGAGTGAAAGGCCGCGAGAGGCCTCGCTGTGGTCTCCAGGAGGCCAAGCCGTCCTGTCCTCGTGCCATCGTCTGTGTGTGTATATACGTGTTGACGGGGGGGCAGCGCCTTATCAACACGTATATACGGGTATTCCATGTACAGAGTATATGTTTTGGAGATCATGAAGATACTTTCCCTGGCTTCTTAATTTTCCAGTATCTAAACAAGTCACATTTTCTTCCTGATGGTTTTCTAAAACACACAGTGCTATTTCAATCCGCTTGTGCTTGGCTCCCAAGTGGTCTGCATCTTATGTACTCTGTAGATCGTTCATGTTCTGTATGTAATTCCGAGTGCGCCAGCCTGTGCGGAGCAGCCCCCTCCAGACGCAGTGCGTCGAGCCGAGTCAGTCCGCAGTCGCGATTCAGAGCCGGCTCACTGCACTGTGCTCGCAGCGTCTAGCTGCAGGTATCTGAATGTTTCCAGTTACCTTTTTAATGAGAACGAATTTATAACGGAACGAGAATGAGTCTGAAATTTAGTCTTGACATTCGGGTGTGAAATGTTGATAAGAAGCCACTGGACCTGAGAAGGGGAGGGATGAGGTGTGAGTGCGGGGCCCCTCCGGCCCCCCAGCGCGGCACAAGCCCTCTCACTGTACGTGAATAAGCCCGTGTGTGCGCTGTGTGCCGCGTGGTCCTGTGTCAGTGCTGTGTCCCTCGAAGCACGCGACGCGTTAACGCCGCCGCCTTTGCTCTCGCAGGGGACGAACCAGCAGATCAAGGCACACGAGGCCAGCTCCGCCGTGCAGCACGTCAACCTGCTGAAGGAGTGGAGCAACTCGCTGGAGAAGAAGGTAGAGACCCAGTGGGCTCATGGCATGTGAGGCTCGAACAGCGCGGGAATCTCTGGGACGGGAGCTCGTGGTTCTGAGCTTATGAACAAAGGTTGTTTTGTTTTGTTTTGTTTTGTTTTGGTTTTGGTTTTTCTCCGGTACCGGGAACCAAACTCACGACCTTGTGCTTGCCAGGCAGGCGCTTTCGCCGCTGAGCTAAATCCCCAGCCCCACAAAGGTTGTTTTTAATGGTCAAGCAAGTAAACACTTTCATTTGTAGGACTTTTTTCTAAAAACCACGTTGTGGTTATCTTAGCATTGATCTGAAGCAGAGGTGGCCAGTGTCCCACAGTTGCGTGAAAGGCAGCTGCCCTCACGAGCTGCCGGTGGAGCCTGGGGGCCTTCAGAGCCCAGCGCTCGGTGCCTGGCTCCTCACACGGTGCGCCTGCCGCGTGGAGGGCACGACTGCCTGGCTGAGGGACCAGGAAGCAGCACGGCTGATTCCGCGCTGCCACCTGGCTGGTGCTGGCATCACGGGTGTGCTGAGGCCCCCTGCCGACGGTCCTCCTCCTCCCAGGCTGTTCGCAGAAGCTGGGCTGGGGCCCCGGCAGGCCGCCTCTTGTGAGAACTTCCCGGGAGACTGTTCCCTGGTGTTCAGCTGGAAGGCTGCATTTTCATGACAGCAATGTTGTTATAGGATCTCCCGCTGCGGCTCATTTATAGAAATAAAACTGAACTCAGCCCGAGAACTTGCAGAGGGAGGGAACACCGAGATGAGTCTCAGCAGCCGGTGTGGCAGCGTTTAAGATTCCCGTCTTTTTCCAGGTGTCTTTTAGTGACAGGGTACTTGGAGAAGATTCTCATGAAGCCTGGCACGGGGTAATTCGCGGGCAGAGGCCCTGAGAAGCAGGCAGCAGTGGGGCTGGCGGTGGGTACGGCCTGGTGCGGATCAATGCCCACGGGCACAGGGCTTTGGCCTGAGCTCAGGAAGGGTTTTCTTGTCAAGTTCTTTCTTCCTTCTTTTTGAAGAACGCGCTCTGATCCTGCCATTTTTAATCACAGGCATAAACGGCAGGTGTTTAAGTTCCCCTGTTTTAAGGGTGAGCACCGCGCCTCCGCCGTTGCTGGTCAGGTTTTGTGTGGTCAGCAGTCTGCACGTGCTTGTCCGGCGGGACGGCAGGGACTGCGCTCAAGGAAACACAGGGCTGGTGGACTGGGGTGGCCTCACTCCTCAGTGTCGCCTGCCAGGCCCTGGTGCGACGCTGAGGGGGTGAGGAGCACCGGGTGCTGGCGCCGAGGCCTCTGGTGTCCGTAGGGTGGAACCTCACCGGGCTCCCGGTGCCTCTGTCATCCCCTCGGCCGCACGCAGGGCTAGGCTGGGAGCATGCATCTCTGCGTTCTCCTATGACAGGAATTTATGTCCCGTTGTAGAATCGTTCTTCCAGAGCCTCCCAGCTCATTTTGGTCATTGTGAAAAAAAGAAAGAGGATGTTCAAAAACACTGGCCCTCCCTCGGCGGAGTTAAAGAAGAAATGCCATAAAATCTGGATCATTGGGGCCAGGGACATAGCTCAGCAGCACAAGCGCCTGCCTGGAGTGTAAGACCCTGAGTTTGATTGCCGATACCAAAAAATAAAAAATAAATTTTTTTTTTTTGTCTTTTTGAGACAGGGTCTCGCTATGTAGTTTAGGCTGGCCCTGAGCTCACTTTGTAGCCCAGGATAGTCTCGAACTCACAATGATCCTCCTGCCTCAGCCTCCCGAGTGCTGGGATTACAGGCATGTGCCACCACGCCCAGCCAAAAAATAAATTAAAAAAGAAAAAAAACTAGATCATTAAATTAACCTGTGTGACAGTTTAGGAACATTTGGGTCAGAGACGTAGGACACGTGCACTGTAGTGGGCTGGGACAGAGGATTCAGGCAGGCTGAGTACCCTGCTCCCCTAACCCTGTGGGTGCACACAGTGCTGACCGCCGGGCACAGCAGTGGTCTCCATGGGCACCCAAGGGTTGATTTCTTCAATTAAAGTAAAATTCAAGGGAGGGAACCCTGGCCTTGAGCTCACTTTGTAGTGCAGACTGGCTCAAACTTGCAGCGATCCTCCTGCCTCAGCCTTCCGAGTGATAGGATTACAGGTGTGCGTCACCAGGCCCAGCCCAAGATGTGTGTTTGTTCTCTAAAATGCGTCTGCTCCCACTCACAAACTTACTCTATGGCAGGAAAAAGGTCAGTGTTTTTGGAGATGATGTTGAGATTTTTCTCAAAAGTTGGCACATGTGGTGTCCCCAGTGGGGAGTATAAGAGTGGAGTCTGGGGTTGGCAGAAATGAATGAGTGGTGGCTCCAGGAGAGGCAAAATGCCACGCGGCGTCATGATTCTCATTTAGCACGTGTGGGCCCCGGAGGGAGTCGTGACGTTGGAGAGCTGTGTTCTGGGGAGGAGAGTTGACTTCTGCTGCGTGGAATCCTAGGAAAGAAAGTGAAGCCATATTTTTCCCGTGACACATTGCAAACTGTATATGCCTGGGTAAATGCACATTTTTTTAAAGTAAAATAGGCTGTGACTGTCTAGGGTTCTTGCATCTTCAGGCCGGTTCTCCTTTAGTCAGACGGCGTCAGGCATTGTCTTGTCGCACTGTTCTTTCCTGAGTGACCTCCAGCCGTCACCTTTGTGAGCCTGGCCCGTCCTTGGGCCATTGCAGAGTGCAGGTGGGTGTGAATGTGGAGCTCAGGTCTCTGCTGAGCTTGTGGTCTTTAGGGGCAGAAAAACCAACCTGCTGGTGGACAGAGCTTTCTCCCTGAAAGAGAGCTCCTCATCTTGGAACCTTTTAAGAACAGGTATCAGCCAGGCCTGGGGCTCTACTCCTGGAATCCCAGCATTTGAGAAGCTGAGGCAGGAGGGTTTGGAGTGTTCAGGCTAGCCTGGGCTATATAGAGAGACTGTCTCAAAAAAAAAAAAAAAAAAATCCACTAGCTGTCAGTTTGCCCTTGGGAGCTGTCTCCCAGAACGCAGTTTTGCAGAGGTCAGCAGTGGGCTCCGAGTGCCACCCTGCAGCCCCTCGGCGACTGGGGTGGCAGGTGGCCCTCCTGGTGTCCGCCATCTGCCTGTGTGCTGCTGGACTGGCCGTGGGTGGTTTCTCACCAGGTGTCCCATGGGGCTGGCGCTTTCCATACTGCAGGGTGCACCCCCAGGAGGGTAGGGGTGCCAGATGGGCAAATGGTGACCGTGTGTGTTTATGAGATGCGGTGCGATATTGTGACAAGTGTGAGCACCTTGGAAGGCAGAAACCCAGCTGGCTAACATGTGCACGCGTATGTGTGTGTGCTGTCAGCATTTTAATTCAAACCTTCTTGTCCAATTAATTAAAGAATTTCTTTTCAGGTTTCCTTGCTGCAGAATGAAAGCGTAGAAAAAAACAAGAGCATACAGAGTCTGCACAATCAGATCTGTAGCTTCGAAATTGAGATTGAGAGGCAGAAGGAGATGCTTCGAAATAACGAATCCAAAATCCTTCACCTGCAGGTAAGTGACTTGGGAGGGTGGAGGGCCCGTCCGACCTCCGCTTTCTCTAGGCAGGGGCTGCAACCAGCCAGGGACCTGGGGAGGCCAGGGAGGGACTGCGGAGCTGGCCCAACCCTCTTCTCTGTGCCGCTGATCCCGCAGGAGGTGACTCCGTAGGCCTGGGTTTCGAAAATGAGCAGCCTGGCTCTGTGTGTGTGTGTATGTGTGTCTCTCTCTCTCTCTCTCTCTCTCTCCCTCTCTCCCTGGGCTCTGTCTCCAGTGCTAAAAAGAATTAGCTGTTTTTATGACTGTCTTAGTTACTTTTTCTTGTTGCTGAGACAAAATCCCCAACACTGTTTATCTGGCTCACAGTCTAGAGAGGTTTTGGTCCATAATCTGCTGGCTGTAAGGCAGGGTGGCATCGCAGAGGAGAAACAGCCCATGACAGAAGGTAGCACAAGCAAGGAGCGATCGAGAGGGGACAAGCTCCTCTGTCCCTTGCATTGCATGCAGGCAACCTGCCCTACGGTGTACTGCACTCACACTGGTAATCCCAGCGGTGGCGCATCGGTCAGTCATAAGCTCTAGGTTGAGCCACCTCCAAAAAGCCTCCCCCCATGGCTGCGTGAGGCTTTGGGGGGACGTCCAGACAAGCTGTGACGGTCACTGTCTGGGGTTTCACGTCGCCCGTGAGTACTGGATCCGGTTTCACTTCCTCAAGTGGCTGCTTCATCCAGGTTTTCTAGAGATGTGTGTGGCATTTCTCCAGCTGTGTCATACTATAGTGACCCAGAGACGCCCCAGAATCGCAAACTGAAACCCTCCGCCACTCCAAGCCCCTCTGATGATACAGACGGGCAGGTGGGAAGGGGCTCTCACTCAGGCGGCCTTGCAGCTGCTGTCTCCGCACGCCTGCGCTGCGAGTGTCTCGCGCTGACCCCAGAAGAGCCACTGAGGGCCCAGTCGTGTCAGTGTTGGAGCTTCAGGCGTTGTTTCCCCTGGGTCACCAGGAGGAGATGTCCGTACCTGTAGAAGATCTTTCCTCTCACTCACACTGGAGATCAGGCCTGTGAGCTGGCAGAGATTTATTAAATTTTCACTTGTATTACACTTCCTGGTTGCCCAGAGGCAAGGAGGAAACAAAAGGAAACAAGATCGTAGGAGAAAGGTCCTCGTCCTCAGCACTACCCCAGCTGGACGAGCACCCTGGCGCTGCCCAGGCCGTCCCGGTCGCCCTTGCCCAGCCGCACTGCGTGTCCTGTCTGCGGCCAGGAGCAGCTTATCTGCTGGCAGTGCGGCTGCCAGAGGGGCTCCAGGGCGATGGGGACGTGCTGCGAGGCCACTGCACGGCGCCCGGCGCGGGAGGCCGGGGAGGGCTCGTGGCCGCGTGCAGCGGGGCAGGGCACGTGCCGTGGAGTTCTGTGGGCCTCTGCTCCTTCCTTGCTTTTGTTTCCTTAGCTTCCTGTAGACTCAGCTCTGGCTGTGTGTGCTGCGTACTGGAGTGGCCCTGGGAGGTGGCTGTCAGGAAGCCGGGACAGGGTGGGTGGAGCCAGGGACACGAATGGAATGAGCGGGAGCTGGAGGAGAGAAGAGTGTCTGAAGAAGGAACCTGGGTGGGGCGTGACACGCATGCCCCCCGCAGAGGCCGCCCAGGGACAGAGGTGCCACCCGCTGCAGGGTTCGAGACACACGAGAGTCACGTCTGCACCCTCAGCGCAGCTCAGGGTCCGCCTGTAAGCTGTGCCTGTCTCTTGGGCCGTGCTCCGTTCCTCATTTGCAGCCTCCCTCGGTCAGCCACTGGCACAGGGGGATGGACGTGAATGCTCACAGCTGCTCAAGGCAGCAGGAAAGCCGGGTGTGGAGTGCATGCCCAAACTTGGGAGGCTGAGACAGGAGGATTGCAAGTTCAAGCCCAGTCTGTTTCAGCAAGTCCAAGGCAGCCTGGACTGCATAGACCTGGGCGCAAAAGGGGGGCAGGGGAGTGAGTGTGTGACTAGGACCAGCCCCCAGAAAGTAGATGTCATGAGCTAATTAAATACTCCTTGAGCCATGTCTTTGACCTAGTAAGGGTGTTTTCTAGCGCAGTCATCCTTTCTAGACACCGGCCAGCGTTCTTTCCTTGGCGGGAGCAGGGGGAACAGCCCTGCCGCGCGTGTTCTCTGTGGTCAGTGACAACCAGCAAAGGTGCCAAAACCTAAAGGCTCAAAACCAGCAGAAGCGAGGCCGTGGCCGGGTCCCCCAGCTGTGCGCCTGCACGGCCTGTTGGCCTCCGCATCCCACTCCAATGAGATTCTTCTCCGAGCAGAACCCTTGGCGGCCACTGCAACCAGGGCACAGTTTCTGTCCCCCACCAGCACCAGGACGGAGGTGGCTCTGTGTTCTGGGGGAGAGGCCACCTGTGTCCCCGCAGCTGACATGGCGTTGCCTGGGCAGCTACTATGGGGTGTGGCAAAGGGAGGGAGGAAGCCCTGCTCCAGAACCACTCTCTGGGCTTGGCAGGGCTGTGCTGGGGTGGCAGTGTCTTTGCCGGGCTTCTCAGGGCAGCTGTCAGTCGTGGGCCAGGCAGAGAGTAGGCACAGGCACGAGACCTGTGGTGAGCAGGTTCCTGGACCTCTGGGAAGCGGGGGCCTCCTCACCATGATCCTGAGGGCCATGTGGTGCTGGGCAAGAGGCCAGGGGGAGTCACGGGGTGTGTGAGGGCCAGGCCACTCCCGGGGTCTGCCGGCAGAGCAGTGGAGTCCTTGACACAAGGCAGGTGCGGGCGTCGGGCAGCCGGGTGACACGGGAATGGCGCGGATGGACGCTGTGAGTGGGCAGGTGGGACCTCAGCGCTGGCCTCGGGCGGGCCTTCCACCCTGCTCCGAGCCACCCCCCTCCATCCTCTTCCTGGCGCTGTCCCCAGGCACAGCAGACCTCGCAGGCGCCGCCCGTGCCCGTGCTGGGTGGGTGCAGCAGCCTGCTCTGAGAACTCTCACTGGTGTTTGCTCTCTGCACCTTTGGTCTGGAAGCGGGTCATAGACAGCCAGGCGGAGAAGCTGAAGGAGCTGGACAAGGAGATCCGTCCCTTCCGGCAGAACTGGGAGGAAGCGGACAGCATGAAGAGCAGCGTGGAGTCCCTGCAGAACCGTGTGACCGAGCTGGAGAGCGTGGACAAGAGTGCGGGACAGGCGGCTCGGAACACAGGTGCGGTGGGGCTGGGCTGGGGCCACCACAGCGACAGCGCCCTCGAGTGGGAGGTGAGGGGGCCACGCAGCGGCGCCTCCGCAGAGGGAGTGAGGCCGGGCCTGGTGGAGACCACGCGGGGCTAGTTGTGGGCAGGGCAGGGCTGGCGGCGCTGGCGGCCACCACGGGGCGCCCGCCAGCCGAGCACATGGGGCCAGACGGGGGAGGCGACCGCAGGAGAAGGGTTAAGGCTAGGAAGACAGGGTGATCCACACGTGTGGGTGGACGAAGTGGGCAGAGGAGGCGGGGCCCAGCCACAGAGCACAGCTGACCTTGCGGGCATCAGGCTGGGCTGCAGGGGACCTTGGGCAGTGGGTGAGCACGCGGTGGCCACAGCGAGGGAGAGGGGGTGGAGACACCCTGCAGTGGCCGCGTCTGCAGCGGCCACCGTGGCTTCACTGGCCACGGGTGGAGCCGCGGGTGCGGACTTGTGCTGACCTCCGGCGACCTGTGTCTCACCCGCCAACCTCTCCTGCTGGCAGGCTTGCTGGAGTCCCAGCTGAGCCGGCACGACCAGATGCTCAGCGTCCACGACATCCGCCTGGCCGACATGGACCTGCGCTTCCAGGTGCTGGAGACCGCCAGCTACAATGGCGTGCTCATCTGGAAGATCCGAGACTACAAGCGCCGGAAGCAGGAGGCCGTCATGGGGAAGACCCTGTCCCTCTACAGCCAGCCTTTCTACACCGGCTACTTCGGCTACAAGATGTGCGCCAGAGTCTACCTGAACGGGGACGGGATGGGGAAGGGGACGCATTTGTCGCTGTTCTTCGTCATCATGCGTGGGGAGTATGATGCCCTGCTGCCGTGGCCGTTTAAGCAGAAAGTGACGCTCATGTTGATGGATCAGGGCTCCTCCCGGCGCCACCTGGGAGACGCGTTCAAGCCCGACCCCAACAGCAGCAGCTTCAAGAAGCCCACTGGGGAGATGAACATCGCCTCTGGCTGCCCGGTCTTCGTGGCCCAGACTGTTCTGGAAAACGGGACGTATATTAAAGATGATACCATTTTTATTAAAGTCATAGTGGATACTTCGGATCTGCCCGACCCCTGAGACGTCATGGGCGGAGGCTTCAGCAGAAGGTAACTCCTCTGGGGGTGGAACCGGTCTGTCTTTACTGAGGTCCTGAGTGTGGGGAGGACCTTGTGGAGCGGAGGACGCGGCAGGAGCAGATGCGGCCGCGGGAGGAGACCACGGAAACACCCCGACACGTCCTCCCATAGACTAGCCGCCCTTCACTCTGAAGAATTATTTATCCTTTGACAAGATAAATATTGCCGTCAGAGAAGTTTTCCATTTTCGTTTTTAAAGATCTAGTTAATCAAGGTGGAAAACATACATGCTAAGCAAAACAAACATGATTTTTCTTCCTTAAACTTGAACACCAGACACAGAACACACGTGGAACAGCTGGACGTGTCAGCATGTTAAGTAAAAGGATAACTTACGAAATAATAACACAGTTCTGAATATTCATTCTGCAATTCAAGAGTGCAGTCTTGTTCCAAATATAGTATATTGTCTATTTTTAAGGCCTCATCTGGTCTCTGTTTTAATAATTTGTTTGTCAGAAGACCCTGAAGTATACCTAGGTCTTTTTTTGAAAGTATCTAATTCAGAAGTCATTTTTTAATTTAAAGTTCTACAAATAATTGTTACTGCAAACATTTTACTTTAAAACATTGATAGACTGATATTTCTTGGAAGAAAATGTAAACTATCAACACTGGTTATCACTTGTGATAGGAAAGAGAATTCAACTTGTTGTTATTTCTCGTTAGAAATGTAAACCTTCACTATCTGTCGTAGTTAATGACACTACTTCAAATTATTACGAAAGGAACATTGCTCATGGATGCTGTGCATCATTTCAGATTTATAATTGTTTTCACCCTAAAATAGGGCATTAGTTGAACTTTGGAGTTCTAAACAAAATCCTGTAGGTTTTTAAAATTCTGCCCCATGTCCAGACGAGCTCTCCACAGCTGACGGCAGTGACCTCGCCCCGCCGCCCGCCCGCCCGGCGTGCCATCCATCCAGGTGGGCGGCCGTGCCGCGGGAGGCCTGGCGGGTGTGTCTCCATCTGTCACACTGCTGCATGCTGTTGCAATCTCTGAAAGTGACGTCCTTGCTTAGGGAAGGTGGCGTACGGTACTCGTGCCTTAGATGTGACATGCTGCTTCTTGACCCTGGGTTTGCGTTCGATGGGATTCTGGAAAGTGCTAGTTTAACCAGACTTCTCTCGCTCTCCGCCGCTAGATTTGTGTCTCCGAGGCCCTCACACAGCTCCGTCCCTGCCAGGGGAGGCCGGGCCCCATGGGCAGCTTCCGGAGCGCCCAAGACTTCATCATCCAGATTCCAAACTCCAGGCCCCAGAGCCGAGCGTCCCCACGTCCCCATGTCCCCACCCAGCCCTGGACGCCCGCACAGCTCGGAGCGGAGCCCTCTGAACACCCCAGAGACCCTGCTGGGGCGGGAGGGGGGCTGCCCAGCTGACCCACCTGGTGGGAGCGGTGGCCAGGCTGTCGCCCCGCGTCTCCGCCCGCCCGCCGGCACTGTCTCAACACTGTTTACCGTCTCGAGCCCAACTGTGATCAGAAGCCTGGAGCCCCGCCTGTGCCCCTTTTGCTATGCACCACGCTCCACGGTGCTCTTACACTGATGGGTGCTACACGCGACGGGTGCTTCTTAGCAAAACCAGTGTGTGCGAACCACCACATCCGCGCCACTCGCCCCGGGGCACACCCACGATCGGCCGGCTGGGCGCGCGTCAGACTGCCTGCCTCTCGGTCCCCCATGGCCGCGCGGGGACGGCTGGGTTGGTGCCCGTGGCCCACCTTGTCTCTGGTGCTGCCGTCTGTCCTGGGTGTGCCTTCGCCCCAGTGCCTGCTGGACGTGCCCTCTGCTCACCCGCCTGTCCCCGAGCTTCATGCAACTCCATGTCGCACGGCTCTGCGCTCCATCTGCTGCTCCCCTCTGCTGTCGGGGCTCCTCTGGGCTCGGCTGGCATCCTTGTTCTGCCCCGGGAGGCGTCATCGTCCCCGTGGGGAAGGAAAGACTTCCTGAGAAAGCCAGCCCTCCAGGCCTTGCCCAGCTTCTGCTCAACGTCTGGAGGAGCAGTCACCTGGCAGCCGCATCTCCTCCTGGCGCTGGCGAGACGCCTGCTTGGTACCGGTAGGCTTGGGGTGCGTGGTTCCCGGGGTGGGCGAAAGAGCCCCTTCCTGCTGAGCCCTGGAGACCCGCTCCAGAGCCATCCCTGTGGGGTCTGGGGACTTCTGGCCGCACCTCGCATCCACTGGTGTGACAAGTGACTATACTGCCCCCAGGACTCAGTCCTGGGTGGCGTGGCGGTGTCCTGCTTGGGTGCCCCATGCCACCCCTCGGTGCTCCCCCCCCGGCCAGCGCCCGGCTCCCCCAACCTCGGTTCACAGGGTCGCAGCCCAGGAGCCCCGGGTGGTCACACAGTGTGTGTTTCCGGGGTGCACGTCCTACCAACACAGCAGCATTCCGGGGGGATGCCACCATCCTGCCCTTTAGAGAAACCAGTGCTGAGTCCTTCGTGCTGTGGCCTGTACACGCAGCCGTTCCCTCCTGTGTCCACGACAGTCACCGTGGCCACCCCTGCTGCCGGGGACGCGGGGCCCGTCAGGCCGAGCTGGGCAGCGTGCGGGCCGCAGGCTCGGGAAGTGAGGGGCGTCTGTGTCGTAGGAGGCCAGGTTGTGTGGAAGGAAGGTTGTGGGGGCCAGGGACGGGGCACGCTAGGGGGCCCTGAGCCGCCTCGGGAGCTGGGCTTCCTGTCCCGGCTCCATTGGTGATGCCACGGAGGCCACAGGAGGGTGCACGTTGTCACGGCCACTGTGCTGCCCCTGCTGTCCCTCGGGAGCCTGGCTGGGCTGGACCTGTGGGGCCGTCGCCAGCCCCCGGCCCGGCCCCTCCCTCCCGGAGCACAGCGGCCCGGCCCACAGTAGCTTCCATGTCTGTCTCCCAGCGCCGACTCGGGTGTCTTCCCGCTTCCTCCGCTCAGCCCCATTTCCTCCTCGGCCTGTGGCCCCGGGGATTGTGAGGTGCCACCCGCAGACCCACTGCCCACCAGGTCCCCGGCTTCCCCTGATCACATGCGCTGGCCTCCAGGAGGACGTGGTGTCAGGCACAGTCCCGTGGGGACCCCAGCTGCCTCCGCAGACATCCGCCTGCCCCCGCAGAGTCGCAGTCCCCTGGCTGGGGCTGTGTCCCAGTGGAGCCAGCCCCTTGCTGGAAGGTTCTAGAAGTCAGCACGGCCGCCTGGGGGCTGCATGGCTGGTGGACAGGGCCCTGGGTGCCCTGCAGAGGAGGGTGTTAGGGCAGCTGCAGGACAGCAGTGTGTCCTGAGAGGTCCCTCGGGACAGCCCCCAGAGACCAGTGGCCACCTAATCCCCATCCCGGTGCCAGCTCCCCATGCCCCCCTGTGCACTGCTGCGAGCTGCGGGCGGTCACCGCAGGCCTGGCCTAGACTCCGACCGGTGGTGCTGTCTCTGGATCACTGTGGCATTGGTCAGAGCACAGACTCCCCTGGGACCCTCGCTAGCCCCCCCCACCTGTCCCTCTGCCTGAGGTGATGAGCACAGCGGGAGGGCCCAGCTGGGGCCTTGGACACTCTTTTTGACATTCGGTCCAGATCTTTGCGGACGGGGCTGCGGGAGACCAGGGGTCCGAGGCACGCTTGTGCACCAAGTGTGTGTGACAAGTGAGGGTCTGTCACCACGTCCACGTCTCAGCCCAGACCACGGTTCTGTCTTCTGTTTGCAAATCTCCATAACTCTTTTCTCCAAAGTCAAATGTGCCCTGCGGGTCCAGGTCAGGCGCGGTTGGTGCCAGCAGGTGACCTGGTCACTGCGATGGCCTCGTCCCAGCTGGTGCTGGCTGTTGGACGCCTTGGCAGCTGGGTCAGGGAGGCCCGGGATTCCCTTGCCCGCTGTGCCCTGGCATCATCACCAGGCGGGCGAGGCCAGTGCGGTCCCCAGTGTCACCTGGGCGTCGTGTGGCGGGAGAGCTCTCGGGCTCAGTCTGGGTCTCGCCTGTCTGTGAGTGGCTGCAGACCGAGGGGAAAGCCCAGGACCTGAGCTGCTCCCGAAACGAGTGTGACTGGTTCCCCAACTTAGCCCCCTTAGCCAAGTAAGATGACCTTCAACCGCAACTCAACGACTTAATTGGGAAACACAAAAGCCGGCCTTATTCCCAAGGATTTGCCTCAGAATCCGTCTAGGAGAACTGCCGTGATCGCGGAAGTGTGCGGGTGGGGTAGACCATAGACCGGTTCTAGATTTGCATTCTTTTCCCTGGTGGTCCGTAACCTCTTGTGTTCAGTTCTATAACCCAAACACAAAGACCAAAGAAGGCCAGTCTCTCATTTGACTGTGTTTTTAATCTGCCTGTTTTACAAATTGGCGTCCGTAGTGACCGCTCGCTGTGCGGCCCCCCTTGGCTCCGAGTGATGGTGACCAGTGATTGGCGTCCTGTGTTCTCAGCGCTTCTAAGAAGACAGTGCGAGTTATTGCTCAGCAATAATCCTGTCGTTCCTGGGTTAGCAGCGCGGCTGACTTTCTGATAGCATTATTATGTTTTCTATTTCTGTTTACTGTATATCGTGTGTGGTTTTATTTGGTATTTATTTGTGTTTTGAGGTCTTGCAATGTTTTTGTGTTTCTGATGCTAATAACTAAAGTTTGTAAGACTGTAGAATGCGAAACTTGGAAATGCTAAACTGTCTTATTAGAGAAAAATAAACCTGATTAAGAGTCCTGGTCTCTTCTCAGCCTGTCTCTCGCTGCCGGGCTTGGGCGAGGGTCCTGGTTCTGTGTGGCCCCAGGGGCCGTGGCTGTCACCGTGACACCCACACAGAGTTTGAACCAGCGGCTGTCGGGCTCACCCTGGGGCCTGCAGATTGGGATGGCTTAGAGCTTGCGAAGGCCCTGGGCCGGCTCTGGAGGCTGTGGCTTGGGTCCGGCCGCGGGGGCCCGCACCCTTCTGCTGAGAGGAGTGCAGCCACACTGGGTCCCACAGATTGGGTCCGCTCAGCCGCCACCCTGAGCCCCTGTTCCAGTTCTGCGTGGTGGGCAGACAGCTCAGAGGGGGCCAGGGACCAGCTTCACACTGCCGTGAGGCTTCGAGCGCTGCCCACCCAGGCCGGCCTCTGAGTCGGACCTGACGGCTGAAGCCCTGCATCTCGCTGCGGTGCCCCCAGGTTAGACGGGGGACCCTCGGCCGCCCTGCAGTTCCCGCTGCTCTCGCTCAGCCTCAGCCCGTCCTCCAAAGCACAGCACAGACCAGTTCGAGGGGACGCTGCCAGCCACCAAGTGTGACGGAGGACCAAGCCCCGGGGTCCTCTGCCTGGCCTCGCCCAGGGGCACAGCCTGCCCCAGCCTGCCCCAGCCTGCCTCCTGCCAGGCCACCTGCTCCCCAGCCTGGGCCGTGAGGCCAGGCGGCCCCCAGGAGTGTCAGTCATTGCGTTGAGAGCCCCAGTCCTGCGCCCCGTCTCCTGGCTGACCGCCCTGCCAAGTGCAGAGTCCCCTCTACCGACAACCCGGGCTGCGCAGCCAGGCCGGGACACGCCCAGTCGCAATCTCAGAAGCTGGATTCTTCCCCAGGGATTTTCCTCTGAGCTGAGCAGGAGAGGGGACAGGCGATCACCCCAAAACTGCCTGCCTCATGCCAGGTGGAGGCCAGGATGAGAAGCGGGTTCTGAGCCAGCCCTTGCAGGGCATGTTAGGGGCCACGTCCAGCCCTCGGGGGCTGCTGGAATGGGGCCAGCTCTGGCCTCCGAGCTGGGGGCCGGGCCCAGGCTGGTGGTATGTGGCACTGGGGTCCCCCGGCTCAGGGTGGGAAGATGCCGCCCTTCTGACCCGAGACTGAGGAGCCAGGGGCGTCAGGCGTTCCCAGGCGGGCAAGGCCCCAACAGCTCTGCACGGGCAGGGGCTGCACACGGGCGCTGGACCCGAGCGGTGCCGTGCCTCCACGCGCCTGGCTCTGCAGGGCCCGCTTGAAATAGGAGGCGCCAGGCTGGGAGGAGGCTGGGCCTGGCAGGGCCTGGCCCCCACCCCGGCCCTGGGGAGACTGCAGCTCGCAGAGACCCTGGCCACTCAGCCACCGCGTGAGGCTGCGACGGCTCCAGACCCTGCTGCAGGGCCCCGCTTCCAGAAACAGGAAGCGACCGCTGTCCTAGGAAACGCCCCTCGGAGAGCTGGGGTGCTCTGTGGGAGGCGCCATGCCGTGCTGTGGCTCACCGTGGCCAGGTCCACGCTGCTGGCGCCCGGAGCTTCACCTGACCAACTGCCGGGTCAGAAGCTGGGGCAGGGACACCTGGCCCACCGCCCCCTTCAGCAGCAGCTTCACGGGAGTCCTGCTCCCCGCTCCTGGCCTCGGGACAGGACAGGCTGGCTCTGCAGGGAGCACGTAGGGGTTGCCCTCCTGGGAGTGCCCATCTGTTGGGACGGGTGGGTGGACAGCCAGCGGTGGCCACATGCCCGGTGGAAAGTGCCCTATGGTGCCCACCTTGCGGCGGAGTGGCTGGGCCCTCTCGTCCGAGCCTGACCACTGGCCTGAGCTGGGCCCACTGACGGGCACAGGGGCCGAGCCATGCAGAGGTCCGCTGCCTCCCCTCTGCGCCCCGCCACCGTGGGGTGGGGAGCACTGCCTGGGGTCCCAGCACTGGGAGCCCCAAAACGGACCTGTGGATCCTTGCCTGCCTCAGCGGGGCGTGGAGCTACCCTGCCCTAGCCTTGCCTGCTTCTCAGACCCGGGCTTAGCCGCGGCCCTGCCGCCCACTCCCAGTCCAGTCTGGCCTCCCCTCCAGCACCCTGGGGTGGACAGGGAAGGTGTGGCCGCGTTACCTGAACCCTGCCGAGCACCCGCCCCTCCCAAGCCGCCTCTGAGCTCTCCCGACCCACTGCTTGGCCCCTCGGGCTCCGCACCCTGCAGCACCCCGGCCTCCAGCAGAGGAGGTTGCCACTTGTGCCCACACCCCAGGGGAGCCAGGAGCTGGGACAGCCACCACGCACGGCAAGCTGGTCACAGTGGCTGGGCAGGGAAGTGGCACATCAGGACACGGGCGGCGGGGGTCAGTGGGGAGCCAAGCCCCGGCAGCAGGACAACCCAGATGTAGCCTGCCCTGCGCAGCCACGCCAGGCACGTGCCTAGTGCTGAGCTCTCCTCAGGGCTGGCACCAAGGTCCTGGCCACTGGTGAGTGCCCGGCGCTTGCGTGGTCTCCCTCTCCTCCCTCACAGCTTTGCTCTCGAGCGGCTCCCAGGACGCCGTGGCTGCCAGGCCCACCTCAAGGGAGTGCCTCCTGCCACTTCCTGACAGCTGCCCCAACCCGGCCCTGCTCAGGGTGCCCCTTCCAGGACAGGGGCTGGACGCAGCACCCCAGCCGCCAGCCCAGCCCGGCTCCTGCCACTGAAATCTCTTGTAGCTTCGGGGCCGCTCACCCTCAGGTCCCAGAAGGACCACAGGCCGCCTGGGCCTTGCCGGCCTGCACGTCTCTGGGGGAGGGCCTGGCAGGGGGTAGCGCGGGCACTTCTGGTGCCCGGTCCCAGCCTGCCTCCTCCTGGCAGCTGGCCCGGCTGGACCGGCCTGGCCTCAGGCTCAGGCCAGTCCCCTCATCTCCCAGGGCTCAGCAGGGCCCGGTGCGTAACACGGCTCCTTCCTGTGACACAGAGCAAACTGATGTCGTCCCCAAGTCCCTCTGTACCCGCTGGACAGCGCTCCCTGTGGGAGGGGGCCGGGCTCCAGGACCCTCAGCACCGCCCTGCGTGCCGCTGGCAGCCGGTACACCGAGCTGCGGGCGCCTGGCTGCCGGTGACCCTGCTGGGACACGCGAGGCCCGAGCGGGGCTCCCCGCTGCCCCGTCCGCAG